GATTGGCTGATTTCAGGACCCTGCAGCCCTTTTCTAATGAGGTTAGAGAGAGAGATGTGCTAGACATGGGGAAGAGCAAGGGTTAAGATTAAGAGAGAGACCCTCGAGGTAACCAAGAACCTGCCAAAGCAGGGATATTCAGCAAGATTTTCTGTATTCTTCAACTTGACTTGGCTAATAAGGAGATATCTAAAGACAGCAGATCCGAGAAGTCCCTGCTTTTATATGGAAATAAATATAAAATTGGAGATCCCCACAGTCTGATGGGTGGAATAACAAACATTTGAGATTTCCCATCAAATGGTCTAATTCTGGACAGTTACAGGGCTCCCCAGGCAGGGAATGTTGGTCATTTCCTTTCCTCCCCATGAACATGTCAGATGGAGGAGGGAGTGAAGTGAAATCTCTGGATTGTTTCCTGGCCATCGCAAGACTCTAGAGAATTGTCCATGGGGGAAGGAGCAGGACAAGAGTCAGTTAACCCATAAAAGGGAAGTTTCCAGGAGCTTTGGGTATGAGGCCAAACAAACGTTACAACCTGTGGGAAAAATGCCAAGCGAATGATGACACTGGCTTGGCTTGAAGCATACACCTCCTCACAGTGAAGCTGGCTAACTAGCCAGTGTGTTCACTGGCCCATTCCATGCTGTGGCTGTCACCCTGGGCCTCATTATAATGATTTATACCTGACTCTTTTTAAGAAGTAATAGGAAGGTTACCATCTTTACATGTGCCAGGTTTTTCTCAGTCTGAACTTCACCTCCAAGTCTGCAGTTCCCCTTGTGCTGTTGCAGCTTCTTTTCCACCCTTAATTCAGGAAAAGAAAAAAAAGGTTGTGATGGTGACTATGTTTTTCTTAGTAAAATAAGAAAAAAAAATGTTTTCCCAGCTGTGTCCAGAAAATCCAGACACATAGAAGAAAATCCAATAAATGATTAACTCAGTCTTTCCATCTGTAGATAGTGGAGTTTCTGGTTAGGCGTTTTTAATGATAGCTAGTTTTTAATGATATTGCTAGCCTTCTTCTTCCTAAAGACAAAAGAAATTCTCTTTGATTTGAAATGCAATGTCCTGAGAAATTTTCTGGTGAGTACCTGCATGATTGTTTACTTTTGGTTTTCTGCCTTTTGAATATGAATAGATTATTTGGAAGTGAGTTTCCCGTACTATTTCCCTGTGAGAGGAGAATACTGAGCAAGACAGCAACTTTATGGGCAAAAAAGTAGATTTTATGCTTTGGCTACTCTTTACAGAACACTGATTTTGATACACTCCCTTTTCGTTCTGGGTTTTTTTTTTTTTTTTTTTTTTTTTTTTTTGCTATAGGGTGGTGAAGTAGNTAGGGTGGTGAAGTAGGGTATTTTCAGCTGTGAATTTTTGACCCAGACAATTAAGATTTTTCTTAGGAAGTAGTGAGAAGAGATTGGTACCATCTGTCTGTAGCAGGCACTGACACAGCAATGCTCAATCCATGCTGCCCTGTTGATGGGAGAGAGAAAGCGTCCTATGATTCCTGTGTTGTGACCAGAAGCAGGTTTGACCCATATGCTATAGTCAAGAAAACAGTTTTGGTTTGCTGCCGTGCTCCCACTTTGGTGGTCAGGTGTGGGCTTGCTTAACAAACACACCTCGGCAGTCCTTGACACTGTCTATCTTACCCATTTTCCTGTTTATTGATCTATTGTTTTCCACTCAAAACACTTTGCAAACAAGCAGTCCACCGTAATTACTTTTTTTGCCCTGGCTACCAATTTTGCTACCTGGCATACCCAATTTTGATATCTTCAATACCATTACCTTGGCAATCTCAGATGATAGGCACCTGTCACATAAATCCCCCCTTAGCCAAGCTGTGAGATCCAGCCACCCCTCCTGGAGCTTTCACACTTCTTTCTGCCACAGCCACCAGTTTCTGATAGAGTCTCCCATTTTTCCTGTGTCCTGCTCAGCCTCAGCCCAGCACCCACACATAGGCAGGGCACCTGCCCAGTTTTGGTACCCTGCTCCCCATGACTGCCTGTGATGCAGGAATTCGGAGCAGCTTAGCCACTGCACCAGGGTGGCTTGTCTGTTACCTTCACACAGGCATTCAGCCTGTGTGGGTTTTTTTGGTTTTTTTTTGTTGTTTTTTTTTTTTTTTTTTTTTTTTTTGGGATTTGTAAAAATACATGCTATATGCTCAAACCAAAATTCTTAAGCAATTAAGAGTGCTCTGTAACTGTGATAAGTAACCCATAATTGCTTGGCAAGCTGCCAGTTTCTGTGTCAGCTTTTGGTGACAAATCTTTTGTATCTTTTTCTATAACTACCTGGTAACTTATATCAAGCCTTGAGACAAAAAATACATATTTCCTTTATAAATGTACTAGGCCCACTACATTTCTCTGCTGATTGCCCTTTCACAGAAATGTTTTAGGATTTAATATGGCCCTTCTGCAGAAAGCAATGACCAGTGATGCAAGAAATGCCAGCTTGTGGCAAGAAATGCCAATGTCAGGACCCCATCATCCTCTTTTGCAGTGAAGATAAAACAGCTAGATGCCTGCATAGCAGAGGCTTGCAGGATGGCAAATGCTCTCCTCTCCCAGTCCTTCAGCACAGAGCATGTGGGTAACTAAGGCCGGATGTCTGGATCCGAAAGAAAAGGTCAAATTCTTCTCAACACAAATAGGGAGGAAAAATCTCCAAACTGGGGTGCAATGGCTGCATCCACCATCTAGGTGCCCAGGGCAGGGTGAAGAGCCTTGCAAGGAGCAGCACCAACCCCCACTCCAGCCCTGCTTTTTCTCCCAGCTGCCTCCTGGCCTGCAGTCGCATGACCTCAGCCTGTCAGGGGAGAGGCAAGCAGAGTGCATCAACTCCTCGGAGACCCAGGCGCTGGGTGGTTTCTTTTTCTGCTGCATTAGCCAGCTCAGATGCGGCACAGATGGGGAATCTGCAGCCTGTGCCCCCAAACCGGCTCCCGAGGCCTCAGGGGTGTCTGACAGATGGGACAAAACCCTGGTGGGGCATAAACATGTTTGGCATCACAGCTGCGGCTGGGGGAGAGGGATGAAGCCCTTCAGCATATCACCCAACCCTGCCGGCGTAATTCAGCCACAGATGATGGGCACAGAAGAGCTGCATCACAGGGACCTCTTCGGGACCTGTGCCAGCTGTTTCAGAGGATGGAAAGACAGGTTTTCACTCACCTGTTTCCAGAGGACAGAAACAATAGCATTGGAGGGCAGCTGAGTAGGGCAAGGGAGCAGATCCTGTGCTGCTCCTGGGATGGGTAAGGGTAAACACAGCTTGTGGTGCTGGGAAGCAGGCGAGAGGCATAGGATGGAGAGAGGAAGTGTTGTAGGGAAGGAGCAGAATGCCTTCTGAAATACAGTGTACACCAGGTCTGAAGCACCCAGACGACATAGGCGGTGCAGTCTGCTGCCGGATAATATGGGTGTAAGGCATGCTTGGGGAAGTGTGGAGCTGGAACAGGTGAGAAAGAGGGGGTTCTGGTAAGGAGAAACAGCGTGGACTCTGCATGCCGCAACTGCATTGGGAAGAGCATGGGGAGGAGCTGCTGAATGGAGCCTCCAGACAAGTTGGAAGAGTCCAGAGATGGTGCTGCTACCCCTGTCTTACTGCCAAACAGGGAAAGCTTCAGGCCAGGGTGCTTCATGCACTATGCCTGGACTTACTCTTATCCTTCCAGAAGTGGATTTATTTTTTTTTTCCATGGGGCTGTAGAAATGTTGTGATTGCCCAGTGCTGGTAGGGAGGGTGGCTCTGGCACTAAGCTGTGAGGCCAGTGGGAACAAGGCAGGTCTATGCTGTCTCCTCAGCCACAGAGATGCTTCTCTGTGTGGGTGTGGTACACTTAGGTCAGTGACTTCATGGTGATGCACTTCTACCGCCAGAACTGTCCAAAGCCTTTCACAGCAGCACAGCATCAGAAAACAACTTTGCCTACTGCCTAACATGCAGCTTTTTTTATCCATACTCAGGACAAAGAAAACACAGAGTGTGGCCCTCGGAGATTGCTCCAAAAAGCCTATCCTCAATTTTGATGGGTTAAAACAAAAAGTTTGCTGTCACTGCAGAACAAAACACAAATATACTGAACCGACAGAAACTGACATCCTTCTTTATGAAATCTCTCAGCTACGCGTGCAATTAACTTCTCCAACAGGGATAATGAGATTTGGGGGCATTTTCTAAAGCCCAGCTTTTGACAGGGAAATCTCACTTTTATTTAAAAGAACAATGTGCAGAGGTCCTAGTTAGAGCAATTCTAATGATGCGGCTGCGTTCTCTAAAACGTGACGATGAAAGAGAGCTTCCAGCGAACCGTGAAAAAAACAAAAGTGGAAAATCAGTTTCAAGTGTTCAGATGGGGTTACTCCGAAGACATCTGCGCTCTTCTGCTTTTTGAAGTCGGACTGCGAGGGAAAGCCCCAGGGCTGGAAAAGGCTTCTGCTTTTTCTTTTTTTTTCTTTTTTTTTTTTTTTTCCCCAGCAACTGCAAGCCGTACTGAGGGGATTTAGGAGCAGAGTACGGCATGTCCCAGCCCCCGCGGGCTTTGGACGTGTTCCTGCCCAGCGCCGCTGCTGCGGGCACGCGGTCTGGGTTGAGCTTTTCACTCTATTGCTGCGCTAATCCTGAAATAATTCTCTTTCTCTCCCCCC